ACTGACTTTATCTTCTAAAACAGTGCTTTGTCTACTTTCCAAACACCACAATTGACTATACAGATCCAGTCTGCGCCGCCTATTCTCACACCAAGCAGAGACCAGCTTGTGCCCTTCAAGTGCCAATCTAAACAAATGACCAGGCGCTGCTTTGTTGACCTTTTTATCTCCAGATCAACCAGTCTCCAACTCTGTGAATTTTTTCTCTCAACAGCTGATGTGGAGCTGAATCTGAGAATGGTTAGAAACTAATGAACAAACAAAGCTGTTGAAGGATCTGCTCCAGTTAAAGCAGACTCTTACTGGTTATCATTCAGTAGTTTTAATGGCAGCAGGAAACCACAGGCATTATGAGGGAACAACTCATCAGGTCTTGAGTAACCCAGTGTCACTCGGCCAATATAAAGAACATTTCTAGGAATAACAAAGTTGGCTGAGTGTGTTCAACCACAAATCCAGCTCCATTACTGGACTGAAAAGAGCATTGTTTTGCAGAAATGTTGCATATACATGTATAGTCTAATTCCTGTAAAACACACTGTTTTGTGGTCCAGTATTCTCCAAACGTACATGTAGTAATAACATCACCAACCTAAATTAATAATAACAATGACACAAACAAGCCCAGATATGTTTACAGAGATGTCTGGAAGCTGGTTTAATTAACCAATGGAGGCTGGATTATGAAGGCCTGTGAGCGAAATGTGTGCAAAACTGACTGTATCAGTACACCTCTGATTAAATACAGACACCACAGTGCACTGCCTTGTTTTGAAAAGATGCAAGAATGTGTTTATAAGTGAGTGATTTTGTTTTTTCTAATGGAAGAACACCAATACATGAATAGAGTAAGAAGAGCAGAATGTAACTTTAATGTGGAAAAGCATCTTTGTGGGAAAATTCATCCTGCATTAACTGAGCTCCTGGCAGTTGTAAACACAGTACTGACATATTATGAGCTTTGTTTCTGTCCAGGAGCGAACAAACAAAACACCACAGACACACAGATGTCAGACGTGGCTGAAAGCTCTCTGAGGGGTTGTTAACACATCAGCGTGTACTTTACAGCTTTGATAACCAATTAAACATTTCAGACATACCAATAATTTGATGGTTTCAGCACCTCAGATGTGACAATCTGCTGATCTTCATGATTAGTGGAATGTTTTTGGTTTTGGACTGTTGGTTGGACAAAACGAGACATTTCAAGATGTGACTTGGTGCTGCAGGATACTGTGATGCACATCTTTCACTGTTTTCTGATTATTTATAAATGAACTTTAAAATGTCAGTAGATTAATCGATAGCGGAATTGATAATGATAATCAATAATGAAAATAATCATTATGTGTTGTAGCTCTGATGTAGTTTCTAGTGTGAGATACATAGGAATTTAAATGATAAGTGACAGTTTGCTAAGCCCCACCAACCCTAAGTAGTGTTGCTACAGCTGTCAAGTTTTATCATTTATTATAATTATAATGTAATTAATGTATATATAATGTATATTATAATGTTATGCACATACACACTGCAAGAGCAATTAAAAACACAATTAGAAACACAATTTTAACAGTCAGCCACTGCAGCCAAGGACTTGTTTATGTCAGTATAGAACTATATAAATTTGTATTAAGTTTCTCAGGACAGTGGCACTACAACCTGCTGCCAGTAGGCGGGGCTGTGCCCAGTATCTCTGAGTGTATTAATGTAATCCTTTCCCAGTTTAGGGTTAAATGGATTTCCTGAGTTTGTCTTATGTTCAGTATGTAATGAAGACTTAAAAAGCTGTGATGGAAATACTGTAAGCTTCTATTATAATGTATCAAAACCTCATAGTGAAAGGTTCACACAATATGTTGAGAAAAGAGTCTGAAATGGATTTCAGACTGTACTGACGTCCTTATAAATACTTTATTATTGATAAATTTAACAACCACTATAGCCAAATGTGGCTGCTGGTTGATTCAGTTAGTTTTACAGTTGACAATGGTTGAATTAAAAATGAGAAGGAGGTCCAGAAAGGTTGCATATGTACAAGGCCCAGATCTTCAGTCAGTTAGCTTGTGGTCCTTTTTTTCCTTTCATAAAGCCAACTGAATTTATTTGCAGATTCTCTGACTGAAACTTAATATTTCCCACAGTCCTACACATGTGCTCAAACACTTAAAGACCGCCTGGGAGAGCTTCACAAGTTACTAGGTAACTCACACACATGTAGTCGATCCCAGTAGAAAATCAGCTGATGTGGGCCACTGTGTGTCTGTTTACCTAATAGAAATCACTTTAATGCCTGAG